GAGAAATTTTGTCTAACATGGAAAAGCTGAGTTAATTGCCATAAACATAATGGAAACATAGGACTGGCGTGGTGGCTCATCCCTATAATCCAAGCAATTTGGGAGGCCCAGGTAGGTGGATCACCTGAGGTCAGGAGTTTGAGACCAGCTGGCCAACATGGTAAAATCCGTCTCTACTAAAAATACAAAAATTAGCCAGGCGTGGTGGTGCATGCCTGTAGTTCCAGATACTAGGGAGGCTGAGGTTGGAGGATTACTTGAACCTGGGAGACGGAGGTTGCAGTGAGCTGAGATGGCACCATTGCATTCCAGCCTGGGTGACATAGTGAAACTCTCTCTCGAAAATAAAAATAAAAATAAATAATAATAATAATGGAAGCATAAAGTTAGGTTTCATTCATTTATTTGCATCGAAAGGAGAGATTGGTTTGTCTAGTTTCATCAAATCCTACATGAGAAGAGTTTATACTGCAAAAATCAAGTGTATTATATAACATGATAAAATAAAGATCAAAATCATGACGTTTTTATGCTTGTGGTTCTAAGCACAGTGTGAGTGTTTCAGTTTTTTTTTTAAAGACTAGATTTTGGATATGTATTGAACAGACTTATCAGTGTGATTCCTCAAATCAAGAACATTTGAGAACGAAGTTCTCACAGACACTTGAATTGTTGGAACCTCAGTAGCTCACATCATTGAGCTAAATTTATATGCTAAAGTTAAAATTACAAAAACAGAACTCCAAAAAGGACATTGCTGATTTGTTTAAGAAGTGGGATCATTCAGCCTTAAACTAGACATGTGAATTGAATAGAGAGAAATTAGAGGCTGTATGCATTTGAGACTCAATGAAACCACATATTTTAAAAAAACTCTAATTCACAGGTTGGGAAGGATTACAGTTTTTTTTTGTTTTTTTTTTTTTTCTAGAAATGAAGTCACAATTCAGAAGGGATTTATAGAGTTTGATGAGTATAAATTATGTTTTACATTCCTGAAGCAATGCCTTTGGAGTATAAACTTTGAGATATATATGATTTCTCAAGCCTGCCTTTCTAATCAGTGTGGCTTAGTTTGAAGAGAAACTAATTATGTTAAAATTGATGTATAGCCATTGCTAAGATAATTTCTCTTGGAAAATTTGGAGCAAAATATATAAATATAAATCTCCAAATGATTCTGAAGTCTCTGGCTATGAGACTAAACTTTAGGCCATATTTGAATTTCAGTGGCTCTATGGAATTATATTCTTTATCACTATTGACATTGAAGTTGACAGTCACTCAGTATCCCAGCTGTATACCTGGAGCTAGAGTTTGATGTGATCTGATGGAAACAATTCAGTCTACTAAATACCATGGTTTTCATTTATTTGATTCACAAATGTCAGTGAATAGCACCAGGCCTAAAATTGTTGATCTTTGCATAAATAGACTGCTTTTTGAATTACTTTTCAAAAAGTAATTTACTTTTGAAATTACTTGATTTTTGAAATTACTTTGATTACTTACTTTTGAAATTACTTTGATTACTGCTGAATATCCATAATATTGAATAGTTAAGAAGGGCTACTTTGCTAGTGTTATGGATTAAACATAATTTAGCTGGCTGGGCATGGTGGCTCACATCTGTAATCCCAGCGCTTTGAGAGGCTGAGATGAGAAGATCACTTGAGGCCAGGAGTTTGAAACCAGCCTAGGCAACATAGTGAGACCTTGTCTCTAAAAATAATAAAAATAGGCTGGGTGTGGTGGCTTACGCCTGTAATCCCAGCACTTTGAGGGGCCGAGGTGGGCAGATCACTTGAGGTCAGGAGTTCAAGACCAGCCTGGCCACCATGGCGAAACCCCATCTCTACTTAAAAAAAAATACAAAAATTTTACTGGTGTGGTGGTGCATGCCTGTAGTCCCAACTACTATGGAGGCTGAGGCAGGAGAATCGATTGAACCCAGGAGTCGGAGGTTGCAGTGAGCCGAGACTGTGCCACTGCACTCCAACCTGGGTGACAGAGTGAGACTCTGTCTCAAAAATAAATAAATAAATAAAAAATTTTTTTGAAAAAATGGCCTTGTGAAATATGAAACTATACTTAGATAGGTTCACTATTGAAAGTAAAAGAGACACTCCAAAACTTGTGCATCTTCAAAAATGAATCCTAGTGATGATGGTTGCACAATGTGAATGTACTTAATTCCACTGAAGTGTAAACTTACAAGTGGTTAAAATTTGAAATTTTATATTAGGTATATCTTACCACAATAAAAATTCCACTTCAGTGTACACAGAAATGGACCCTGGAAACAATGTTGGAGTCTCTGATGATTAATCAAGAGAGCAAGAAAAAATAAGACCCCGCGGCACATTCAGGTTAGTGGGATGATAGTTAAGAAATATATGAAAATATAGTAGCATAAAGATATTACGTAAAAACAATGATAAGAAATTATGGAATAAAGAATACAAGGGACAAAGTTTCTGGACAGTAAAAGGACTAAAACAAAGTGGAAAAAAGTGATGAGAAGGTTAATGAGGGTTGGGGGGCAGTTAATGTATAATACAAAAGTGATTCCGTGGTCATGTGACAAGCAGATTCCCATGACAGTGAGAAAGTCATCACACTGGTTTTCAAATGCAACAGTAACTAAAACTGGCAAATGAAGATCATATGAGCAGGTGGAGTCAAGCCATACAACAGAAGGTGACCTACCAACACAAAATGGATGAAATATTGCAGTGAAATTGTTTGAAAATAAATGCATTCTCAATTTTAAAGAGCATGGGGGGGGCCTAAAATTGTAAAGTTTATCTCATATTCAGCGGGGCGAGGATTGTAAACTTTAGTTGTATTCTGCAATTATCTATTTTTTAAAAACTGTTGTATTCCCATGAACCATTCTGTCACTTGGAAGCAATTCATGTTCTAAAAATATCTGTGATTTTCTTTCTCACAGTATTATAACAATTTATGTAAAGTGAAAACACACTGAAACGATAATATACATCTTTAATGGAAATATAGACTTCTATCAAAGTGTAGATACAGCAGACTGCTTAACACAATGACTGATACTTCACATCAACAGCAGGGCTGTGGGAGAGAGGGTGGGATAAGAGAAGGATGGGCCTTTACTATATCTATTACCTGCCATTTTACTGTACAGAATTAGACCATATGCCACGAGTCCTCCATGTGTAACAATAAAAATGAATAATTTTAACAGCTAATAGTAAATATTTTTTGAGACAGTCTCACTCTATTGCCCAGGCTAGAGTACCATGGCACAATCTTGACTTACTGCAACCTCTGCCTCCCAGGTTCAAGTGATTTTCATGTCTCAGCCTCCTGAGTAGCTGGGATTACATGCACCTGCCACCACGCCCAGCTAATTTTTGTATTTTTAGTAGAGACTGGGTTTCACCATGTTGACCAGGCTGGTCTCGAACTCCTGACCTCAGATGATCTGCCAGTTTTGGCTTCCCAAAGTGCCGGGATTACAGGTGTGAGCCACCACACCCCGCTCAGCTAATAGTTATTGACTGCTACTGTATGCTCAGTATTTCGCTATGCATAAGTACATTACCTATTTTATTTTATTTTATTATTTTATTTTATCTTTACATTTCTCCAGGGAAGTAAGCACAACACCAGGCTTATTGAAATAACTTAAAGCAGGTAAATGGCAAAAATAAAATAAGGGGACTCATAGGTAGGCCTAACCATTTACCACTTCCTTCAGTATAGCCCTTTCGATCTCCATGTTGCTCTTCTTCATTTTTTATCCCTTTCCAGGTTGCCCTGGTATTTGTTTTTTGCCTCATTTCTAAGGCATAGTACTTTTATCTTTGTCTGAGAAAAAGGGACCAGATAAACACACAATGAGGTTTGTCTCAGAGCCTGGATCCATGAAGGAATGGCACTGCCAGTTGCTCTTCAGCTGGCAGGCACCCCTCAGCTGCTTTGACTCCAGGTAGCATGGAAAAGAGATGGAAATGGACATTAAAGTACTTCTGGTGCCATGCACTGAATGCTATATTTTCTTATTTCCCACAATCCCCTATGAAGTGAAGAAACTATTTTCATCTCTATTTTATAAATGAGAAAACTAATGCCCTGAAAATAGGAGTGAGTTTCTTTAGGTCATACAGCTAGTGGGTTAAAATTCTATCCTCAGTTGCTCTGGCTCCACAGTCCCTGCTTTTTCCATGGTATCATGCTGCTTCCTTAAAGGGCTAAGTTAGCCTTGTTAGGAGGCTCCCCCAAACTGTTCGATAAGATGGCATAGAACTACACCTGCTTGATTGTAAATCTTGCCTAAATGGAAAGCAGAGCCTCACCTGTGACCTGCTTGAATTGCCCTCCTTCAAAGAGGTGGAACCTAACATTTTGGAGGTCATACCATAGCAGATCCTGCTCCAACCTTTTATTGAACTACAAACCCTGAGTATGACTTCATCTTTCAACTGTGTTTTTTAGCCTTCTCACTAAGGGGCTGCCAGGGATTCAGTTGTGCCAACAATTACCAGCGTCCAGGCAGTGACCCTTCTGTAATCACTGCCCACTATGTCCCCAGTATATAGGATAGGATCCTTTGTTATGTGCTATCACAGAACACTGTTCTTTCAAAGTACATATCTTAGTAGGTAACTATATATTCGTTACAGTGATCATTTACTCTATATCCACTACCAGCTTGTAAGCTCCATGAAAGCAGGGTCAGTGTCTGTCTTCTGTATTGCACACACTCAGAACAGTGCTCAGTAAGCATTTGTTAAATGCATGAATGCTTTTCCATCAAAGAATCAGATGGTTACTTATCTGGTCATAAAGAAAATACAAAAAGGTTGTCTGTGCCTTGGATAAATGGGCCTAGCTGTGAGGCCTGCCCAACCATTTGTTTGTTAGAGAGCGAAATGGTAGAAAAATGCTGATTCTTGCTCTGCTGCTCCAGGCTTTGGAGGCCTTAAGCTTCCCTGAAAGCAGACATGAGCTCAGCTTACCTCTTTCTGGTGGTATTTGATTGCCACCTTTAACTTGGCCAGGTCATGGTACTTCTGAGGGTCAAGCTCTTCACTGTGGTCATCTCGATGATTGAGGATGATCTCCAGTTCCCTGGAGCTCCGAGCTTGGTCCAGCAGGTCTTTGGCAAAGAGCTTGCACTGCTGAGAGAGCTCCTCATACTCGGCCTTGAACTCGTTCTCCACCTTGCTGAGCTCCTTGAGCTCCCAGCCCAGGCGGAAGGCAGTTAGGATGGGGTCCTCACTTGATAAGGCAATGAGTGAGGGGCTTGCCAAAGCCTTATAGATGTTCAGTCGAGAGCGAGAGTGGCGCAGACTGTCTACCTCTGAACTAGACACACACTCCACACAGTTGCAGCGGATCTGGTGGGGCCGTGGGATAGTGACCCGTTTTTGGACAAGCAATTTGATGATTTCGTAGTTGTTGGTGTGGGCAGCCAGCATGATGGGAGTGATGTCCGGTGTGAACTCAGAGAACTGTGTGTCCATCATCAGAGTGGGGACCTAGGTACAAGAAATGAGAAGCATAGAAGGGCAGGATTAAAGTTTGGAGAGAGAAGCATAGGTCCTATAAAATGCTGGCAATTCAGGAATTAGAGTCTCCATTCTCGTTTCAATTTTTTGACCTCCTAAATCTCCTTCCTTATAGCTAATGTTTATGGAATGCTTATTGTGTGCCAGCCACTACTCTAAGCACATTACATGTCTTTACTCATTTAATCTCCACAACAACCTTGTGAGGTAAATATTCTTCCCATATGAAGAAGCTGAGACACAGAGAGATTAATGAACACACCTAAGGTTACAAAGTTTTTAGTCAGCAGAGCCAAGATTCAAACCCAAGCAAGAGTCTAGAGCCGAGCTCTAGAGTCACGTTGTCAATTATGCAATGACAACATGCCCATTTCTGTCTGAGACATACTGGAGAATACAGAGGAGTAAAGGACATTTTTTCCTGACCTCCTGGAGAATTATTTGGGTAGAGCAAACTTACATAAAACTGGTAACAGTACATAGTATATCTGCTCAGTTCCAAATGGGCAGTAGAGGCTGCAGGAATATTTATTTGAAAGGCTAACGACAACCAGTAATCTTCAAGGCCGTATCATTAAATCAAACCCCGGGGGCTGAAGAGAAGATTCCCTCAAATGATTACATTAACTTTGTGTGTGTGTATACACACACACACACACATATATATACGTGTATATATACACACACACATATATATGTGTATACACACACATATACACGTATATATATACACACACACATATATATATGTATATACACACACACACATATACACGTATATATGTATAAGTGTATATATATACACACACACACACACATATATATAACTTCAGGGGACCAAAGACCAAGGCGAGACAGGGTTCGTCCAACTTTCTGTAGGTCCCAGGAAGGTAAAGATAATTCGTTAGGGTCAGGAAGAAGTGAAAATGAAGACTTCTGAAAATGAAGACTTCTCGGCTTGGGGAGGGGATACTGATAGCAAAACGACCATTGATAAAACTGCTATGTCCATGATGTAATGTTTAGTGTAAATAGCAGCGATGAAGGTGGGGGCTTCTTTGGGTATTCAGGGGCACTTCTGGGTGAGTGCGCAGAACCTGATCAATGAATTAAAAAATCTTTCAACTTTGAAATGTTTCTTGCCAGGCACGGTGGCTCACGCTTGTAATCCCAGCACTTTGGGAGGCTGAGGCGGGTGGATCATGAGGTCAAGAGATAGAGACCAACTTGGCTAACACAGTGAAATCCCGTCTCAACTGAAAATACAAAAAATTAGCCAGGTGTGGTGGCGGGCGCCTGTAGTCCCAGCTACTTGGGAGGCTGATGCAGGAGAATGGCGTGAACCCAGGAGGCGGAGCTGGCAGTGAACCGAGATCACGCCACTGCACTCCAGCCTGGGCAACAGAGCAAGACTCAGTCTCAAAAAAAAAGAAGTCTCTTTTAGGACCCAGTCTTTTCTCAGTCCAGTAGGGAAGCTGAGGCAGCTTGCTAGACTCACAGAAGAGTTTAAATGTGGTAGGATCTAGAGCTAGAGAAGGGGAGGACTGGAATAGTCAACAGAGGCAACAGAGGCTTTATGAAGAGGTGGAGCCCAGTATCCAAAACATGGATAGGATTCCAGAAAATTGAGAAATATTGATTTTATTACACTTTAGGAAAAAATGTTTCAAACGTTCATTTTAACTGGGTAGGACAGACCGTGGATAATTGGGAGTCTCATCGAATAGACAAATCATGGGATTTTTGTTTTGTTTTTAATTTTCTTTATCTCTCTAAATAAGAGAGACAAATCGTGTTTTAATCAATAGGTTCTTTTTACTCTCAAAACTTCTTTAAAAAATAAAACAACAACCCACAGTTACTGGCTAACTGACAAAGGGATGAGTTACTGTTTTTCAACATCATTGCCTCCCTCCCACCTTGCACGCAGGATTCTCCAACAGGGAAGTGGCCAGAAAACATAGAGTAGTAGAAAGGTGGAGGAGGAGGAGTTTGCAAGAAATCTGTTTCCTTCACTGAGTGCTTGCATCAGCCTCTCAATAGTTGAAAGCTGACTGCATAATGGTCATTAATTGCTAGCATGGAACAGCGAGTAAACATTGTTAAACATTTAGAGGGAGCCGCTACAAACAAGACAGCAGGAAGTGAGCAACTGGCTCATAAAGTAAATTGGACATAGGAAAGAGTAATCTCAGAAATTAACATAAGCCTACAGGCTAAGGAAGAAGTAGGTCTGAGTGGGCCTGGAAATGAATATAAACACCATCAGCATAAAGCCTAGAGTTGGGAGAGATGGGGAAGTGAGAAATTTGTTACAGTCTCCCCAGGAAGAAGAGAGCTCAGATCTGAGAGAACTCTGCCCTTTCTTTGGGCAGAGGCCTTCCTCAATCTGTGTCTGGGTCTGAAAGTGTTGAGCAGAAGGGAAGAGAGGCTAATCTGTAGCACAGGATTTCCTGCGTTAGATTGGGGGTATGGGTCTGCTTCCTACCATGCTATTCCTCCTTCCTCTCTCTCTCTCTTTTGCTCTCTCTCGCTCTCTCTCCCCGTCTTCCTTATTCTTTCTACTTTTCTTACTCTTTTCCTTTCTTTTCTTCCATAGCAGTGCTGCCAGTCCTGTCCAAGACACACAGCAATACCTGTGAATAGTGTTTAGCCCCACTTGTCTGATACAGCCAAAAGGTTGTGGTTGTTCATGCGCAGAATAATGAAATGCTTTCTGAAACTATCTGGTTATATTGTCTAAAAAGGAACTTTATGATTCTCCATTTGACTTCCTGAATACCTAACACTAGAGAGGAAACCTTTTAAAAAGAAAACTGGTCTACAGTGACCAACCTTGCCCTCCCACCCAGACTGTTTTTTCTCCTCCTATCAGTGTTGCCACTCACAGGTTGCTTTCTGTGTGTATATCCTTGTGGATTCCCTGTGTGGAATGGTCTCTCGCCCCATTTCTCTGCCACTCAAGGGCCATTGCAAGTTCTGACTTCTTCAATAGCACCTCCTCCTAACTTTGAGCTTATCTCTTGCTCTCCACTCAGATATTGTGGGCACAAGGTTACATGCAAGAAAATCACTTTTCTGATGTTGTCTTATATTATTCTCAAATTACTTCACACACGTACTTTTTGCCTCCTTGATAAGGTTATGAGCTCTTTGAAGGCAGAGTTGTCCTGGTCTGCTCTTGTTTCCCCTATGGCATCTAGCACAGTGCTAGACGTACAGCAGACACTCAGCAAACATAAATTAAATTTCCTATTTTCACATTAAGGAATTGACTCTCTTGGGCCAGGCGTGGTGGCTCACGCCTGTAATCCCAGCACTTTGGGAGGCCGAGGTGAGAGGATCACTTGAGTCCAGGAGTTCAAGACCAGCCTGGGCAACATAGTGACACTGTCTCTGAAAAAACAAAACAAAAAACATTATATTAACTAGGTGTGATGGCAAGCACCTGTGGTCCCAGCAAATAGGGAGGTTGGGGTGGGAGGATTGCTTGAGCCTGGGAGGTTGAGGCTGCAGTGAGCTGTGATCATGCCACTGCACTCCATCCAGCCTGGGCAACAGAGTGAGACCGTCTCCAATAAAAAAATAAAGAAAATAAAAGAGAAATTGACTCTATTGTTTACAAACCTGACTCCCACAATTTGGGTCAATATGAGCTAATTTCCTTGGACCTCTCCTTCCCATGTCCAGCTGAGAAGGCAGACATCCCAAGACTCCAAGAAGGGTTAGATGGCTGGCTTTGCAGGGAACTACTGTGAGGTCTCACAAACTTGCAACATTTCTGCCTGTATTTTTCACAATTCCATTGCTTCAAAGTGGGGACTGATCCATAGAGTATGGGTTTCTTTCTACTCCTTCTACCCCTTCTGCTTTGTTCTCCTTCATCATCTTGCTGTTTCGTTTTCTGTTTTTCCTTCCCAGGCTGTGCAGAGACCATGGACTATCATCAGAACAGCCAAAGTAAAGGAAGAGAAAGTTTTTTTTTTCTTTTTTTTTTGAGGCAGAGTCTCCCTCTGTCGCCCAGGCTGGAGTGCTGTGGCGCGATCTCGGCTCACTGCAAGCTCCGCCTCCCGGGTTCACGCCATTCTGCTGCCTCAGCCTCCCGAGGAAGAGAAAGTTCTATAATGAGGGTCAGAAGATTCTGATGATAATCTAGATTTTATGACGTTGTCTAAAATACAGGCCAAATGGGTAACAGAAATGAGGACCAGGTGTAGGTATATATGTATAATATGGGTGAGTGAATGATAGAAACTGGTAAACTGCAGAGACCCTCTCAAAGGGGGCAGCTACTACTCAGCTCCTGTAAATTGTCATAAGCACAAGTGAGGAGCAGTGTTATAAATTTTTGAAAAGAAGCCATAAACATGGATTTGGGGGTAGAAGCTCTTAAAGTTATAAATGTTGGCTCAAAAATTTTAAAGACAGTGTGCAGGCCAAGCAAAATACATATGTGAGACCCATTTGGTTTGAGTGAACCAGTTTGTGACCTTCGTGCTAGCACATAAGTTGTGAGACTAAAAAGAGATGGGAGAAGATATTGGACATTTAGGCAAGGGCCAAATGATAAAAGGCCTCATACGCCACGCTAAGGAATTTATATATTATCTTTTGACCACAGGGAACTACTGAGGGTTTTAATCAGGAGAGTGGCATAGTTGATTAGTTTGGCCACAGTGTGGGAAATGGGCAGTGGTAATCATGCTCATAGATGTTTAACAACCAGCTCTCCACAGGGGAGGAAAAAAGATCCTGTTTTTTGGTGTTTGCCAGTTTTTGTGGTGTAAATACTCCCACTGTGGCCAGTTTCATGCTACCAATATGACATCATGGAACATGGAGTTGGGAAGAGGAGTAGATAACCCACTCTCGCCAGCTGGCCTGAGCCAGCTCCAAGCACACCACCATGTGTTTCAGAATAAGACTAGTTAAAAGATATCATTAGTTCAGGTGAAGAGATGGCAAGGATC